TGTTTTGGCACATCTGTACCTCCTGAGAAAAACAAGCAGCAATCCCCCGCACTCTTCTCTATGGAGGAGAAACAGTGTTCTTCTAGCTACGCCAGAGCTTAACTGTTTCTTGCATGGAGTCATTCCAGGGCACTACATTCACTGGGCCTCTCACTATCTGGCTTATATATATATATGTATATGTGTGTGTGTGTGTGTGTGTGTGTGTGTGTGTGTGTAGGCATGTAAGCCTTCAAGTTGCCTGACCCCATTAATATCACAGGGTTTTCTTAGACAAGGAATACTCAAGAGGTGGTTTGCCAGTTCCTTCCTCAGCAGCCTACAGCACTTGGTATTTATTGGTAGTCTCCCATTCAAATACTAACCAGGGCTCACCCTACTTAGTTTCCAAGATCAGACAGGATCTGGTGCCTTTAGGGAAGACAAAATGGCACCTGGAGTAGTGCGCATGCACGCGCAACGCCGGGTGCATGTGCACAACTCTGGACACCATTTTGGAAGACAAAATGGTGGCTGGCGGTGCACGCGAGCGGTGGCAGTAATGGCAGGACCGGCCCTGGGCCAGTAAGAAGGCCTCGATGGGCCGGGTCTGGCCCGTGGGCTGTAGTTTGGGAACCCCTGGTCTAGAAGGTGGCTCTTTCCTTACCTTTTTCATAAGGGAAAGCATTTTGCCTAGGAGTTCACACAATTAAATGTAATAGGGTGCTTCTAAGTAAGACTGTAATCGAGCAATTGCTCTCCCTCATTCATGAAATGTTATTGGAATGCAGATGATATAACCTTCTGTTTGCAACTCTCCCATGTTTTGACTCCTTCTATTTTTTAACATCACACACACGCTCTCTCTCACACACACACAGAAATCCATTAAGGGGAACAAAGAATTGTATACTGTGGAATGTTTGATTGTTAGTAATTGGAGTATCAATGAATATTAAAGTTAGGATTGTCCATGCCATTGTATTTCCCAGTCTATGTATAGTTGTGAAAGATGATAAGAAGAAAAATACAGTCAGCCCTCCGTTTTCACAGGGATCTGTTCTGGACACCACTCCCCGCAAAAACGGAGACTCACTGATATTCAAGCCCCATAGGCTTGAGTGGGGTGCACCTTCTTGATTTTAATGGAGGTCATCCCTCTGTGAGTATTCAAAACTGCAGACCTCAAGTCCGTGAGAACAGAGGGTGACTTTAACACACTTGAAGTGTAGCACTGGAGAAGAGTTCTGTGGATAGCATGGACTGCTAAAAAGACAAATAAATGGGTTCTAGGCTCAAGTGGTTAAGACGCTGACTCTGTTGATTGCAAGATCGGCAGGTTGGCAGTTTGAGGCCCAGGGCAGCATGATGGGGTGAGCTCCTGTCACTAGTACCAGCTTCTGCCAACCTAGCAGTTCAAAAGCATGCAAATGCAAGTATATAAATAGGTATCACATTGGTGGGAAGGTAAACAGAATTCTGTGCAATCATGCTCTCTGACAGAGAAGGCTCAATGTCTCAGAAAAAAATACAATTCCCATGATTCCCTAGCACTGAGCCAGGGTAGTTAAAGTGGACTCAATTTGCACTATTTCTAGTAGTCTGCAAAGGCCCAATGTTTGGTAAGGTAGAATGCAGTAGGAAAAGAGGAAGACCCCATTCCAGATGGATAGACTCGGAAGCCATGGCCCTAAATCTGGAAGTTTTGAGTAGGGCTATTGATGAAAGAGTGACTTGGCAGTCTCTCATTCATAGGTTTGCCATAGGTTGAAGCCAGAAGCAGTTAACAACATAGCTGGAAGTACCTTAAAAAGACACAGGACACTATTTTAAGTCATTACTAAAACCAAATCCCCTGGGCCAACGGTGGGGAATATTTAGCTCTCCAGACATTTGGTCCTCAACCCTTTACCATTGCTGTCTGTAGCCATGGAAATTGTCAGCCAAAACATCTAGAAAGCCGCATAGTTGCCCAACCTTGTTCTACTCCAGTAGTGAATAAAGTGCACTTCTCCAGATGTTGTTTAACTGCAACTTTAAAACTGCCCTAGCCAGCTTAGCCAATAGTAAGGAATGCCAGAGTTGTGGTCCAACAACTTCTGAAATGCCACACTTGTGTCAACTTGTACTCTAAGCCAATTGCATCAAAGGACCTGGAACAAGCATTATTCATTGTTCTACAGTGGCATTTTGGAAGACAAAATGGCGCCCGAGTCGCGCACATGTGCGCGCATGCCTCCAGCCCCCTGAAGATCTGGGGGCCAGCGAACCGGCCCCCAGATCAAAAAGTGTGGGGATGCCTGTTCTAGACCCTTGGCTTCCTAGAAGCCAAGATGGCTATGTTGGACTGCAACTCCCAGAAACCCACAGACTAGCCAATTAAGAGGAATGTTGGGAATTGTAGCATACCCACAGTCAATAGTTTGGAAGATAATTTCATATACTTATTTGTGGTTGCTATGTCTTTAGCAGTTCTCATAATGTGCACAATGAAACTGTAGTGCATGGAAAGAAAGTGATAGTGCAATCATGACCACAGATATATTTTGTTAGTCCCATGTGTCCCATGTGTGCATACCTTAGGCCCAAACATGCACAAGCATATGCTTTTGACACATAGAGAGTTATATAGACAACAGACACAAATGTGCACTGCAACATCTGCAGAAGGCTATCACTATAAGCATTAAAGTGTGAATTCTGAGGTTGATAGGACCATAATGTCATATATAGAGTTAAACCACTGATTGCTAACAGTGTGCCATAACCTACTGAGTGAAAGCCTGGACATTTAATACAGTTGAAAAGTCTTGAGGTGTTGCCAGAAAAGGGACACACACATGAAAAATATTGCTTATAAAGTATGATGTTTGTAAAGAATACCTGCATTTTCTAGAAAAGAAGCTAAAAGGTCCTGAGGTGCCTGAAAGACTTGCTGATACTATCTCAAGGGACTGTAGAGAAGCCCCCATATTATTATTTGTTTTTAAAAAGACATTATTCTGTTTATTTTCTGTCCATAGCGGGCTTACACAAGGCATCTTAAATATTATAACCCGGATTGTGTTGGGGTTTTTTTAGGCTAGCCCCCAACCAAATTTGCATGAGAAGTGGAAGTTTTATAGATAGTACTCCATTCTATTTCTATCTGTGAAATACAGCTAATAAACTAGGGATGGTCAATGTGTACCTTTCCAGGGATTACTCCAAGTTTCATCATCTCTTTCCCTGAGTTATGCTGGAGAGGACTGATGGGAGCTGCAGTTTTGATAATATCTGGAATACTACAGATTCCCTACCAAGTTAAAAAATGGCAAATTATGTTGCAATTAAATTGCTGCTGTATGAAGAAATGTCCACAAACTATGTCACCCTTGTGACTCATCTTCTGTCTGATCACCTCCTCTTCCTCCTCCTCCCTCATTTTAGTCAATGGTAAATAGGGCTAAGCTGGACTGCTTTGATCCTTTCATGGATCTCTCTTCGAATAAACTTTGGTTGCTCTTATAGCGGTATCAAATAATTATGTCACTTTTCCATTTGTTCGTTTAAAAACATGGTCCCAAAGAGCAGTCTGTCAGGGTTTCAACCAGGTTGTGAAAAGAGAATAACATGGTAAGTAAAAGGTAGGGGGATTCATTTTTTAAAAAAGTGGAGAGCCTCCTTAAAAAGAAAACCCTCTCGTTCTTATGCCAAGTATGTTTGCCAACATTCAGCGCAGCCTTCAGAAATAACTCCTTTGTTGTATCATATCTATTCCCTCCTCTCCCCCACATTTTGACATACTTTATGGATGGTCTCTTAAATGATTAATAATAGGATAGAATGATCTGCAAGGATTTCCTTCCCTTTTTGAAGACTCTGCTTTTCTTCTTGTCAAGTTGTACATTAGAGCGGTGCACATCGCTTCATGCAAGAGTCATATGGGGGCTAAATAATGCAGATTCCACTTCTGTAACTGAATCCATGAAGCTGGTTCGGAAGACAGGCCTTCTTTGGCCTCTTCCCAGAATGCTTGATATTTCCTATCTTGATTTAATTTGCTTCTTCTTGGATACTATCCCAACTCCTAACGCTGCTATGTAGGCTGTCATACATGAACCATCTTACTCCTGGGACATGTACTCCTTGTCCATATTACTGTAAAGAAGCCAGCAATGAAAGATGGCATTGGTAGCAGCAGGATTCTGGGTCAGTGGAAGAATCCCTGGGATTCCAGAGAAAATTCGGTGAATGAAGCATGAGTAGGGACTTTGAGTGTTACTTCTACATGACCTCATCTTCATATAGGACAAATGTAGACATTAGTGTTGACCTAAGTGTTCATTTTCCCACTCTTTTAATCTGACCTTAGATTAAGTTGTCTCAAACCATTCTAATTATACATTCCCCCATACATTCCAGAATAGGTGGAGTGGACTATCTCTTCCTATTACTGGCTAAGCAGAGGAAACTAAGGATTGTGTTTGTTTAAGCCCCTGTTCTGACAATAGGCTGGTTTATAACAGAAGTGTCAGTCTAGATAAGGTTAAAACTTGGGTCTCCGTTACTACTATCAATTGGACTAATTCCCCTCACAGCCTGAAAATACTGTTCTAACATAAAGTGGTGGTAGAAAAATGGTTGCCTCCCCTTTCTATCACAGAAGCATGACCCTAAACTCTCTCACCTCAATAAATCACCTAAAAGCATACTATCACCAGAATGCTCCTTCATTTTGGAAAGCCCTTATGTTTAGAGTAGCAGCAAGAGAGCAGTTTACTATTTGAATCTTCCTAGTCAAACAAGTCACTACTGTTACTTTGCCAAAATCAGTACAATTAGAGGATCATCATGAGTAGCTTTCCAAATTTAGAAGTTTTAAAATGGTAAGATTTATGTTCCCAAGATGGTGGAGAAAATGCCATTAGTGGCTTGTTCTCTTAAAATGTAGTGCAAGTAAGAAGCTGGATCTTACTTACTTCCCCATACACTTTGATTCCAAAGAATCCAATTTATAATTATTACTTCATCAGCTGAGACGCAGAGTGGTGCAGTAGTCTGAGTATTGGACTATGATTTTGGAGACCAGGGTTCAATTCCCTGCTCAGCCATGAAACCCAGTGGGTGACCTTGGGCAAGTCACATGCTCTCAGCCTCAGGGGAAGGCAATGGCAAACCTCTTCTGAACAAATCCTGCCAAGAAAACCTCATGATAGGTTCCCCTTATGGTTGTCATGAATCAGAAATGACTTGGAGGCACACAACAGTTTCATCAGCTAGAGACATAGTAAACCAATCTGCTGAGAGCAAAGAATTGGTGTTGAATTTTTAGTTGTGGTCTTGAACCAATTTCAGCTGCTTAAACTTCCATGTTAAGCATAATTATTCAGACTAAACGAGAAATGCTTTTGTTGGTTGCAGGCACCATCAGTCTTCTAGTCTAGCCTTCCCCAACCTGGCACCATTCAGATGTGTTGGACTATATTTCTTTGATCCTTAGCTAGAAAGGGCAATAGTGTGTCCAGTAAATTCAACTGGTGCTACGTCCCATTTCAGTGGGAGCAGAGACTAGCTGCATGTGGTATATTTCTTTCAGTAGAAGTAAAGGTGATGGCTGCTACTAATGTATGCTAGTGTGCATATTAAAATCCCTGTTACTTACAAAAAATTACAGAGGATTATATACACATACTGGTTTATTGAAACGATGGACACTCAAAACCACCACCTTTGGATACCTGTACTCACTGTATGGTACAAGTCCTAAAATGCACATTTAAAAATAAAATCATCAGCAGGAAGCACTATACTTCATATCACGGAAAAGCTTGTTGCTTGCCCTCCAACAGCTACCTTGTCTTTAATTAAAACCCTGTGCTGCTTTCTCCAAACTGTTGAAATGCATTCAGATATTTCGGCAATTTGGACGTCGAGCTCCAATTCCTAGGGTGAGAGTACAATTGGTAGTTTAGTTGAGCTGGTGATCTTCCCTACTGTGAATGTAAGAAAGCTGTTTTATTTCAAAAGGCTTTTAATGTGTAATTGTGCTGCTGCTTTCAAATGGCTTTTATACTGATTGCCCTGTTACACTGTATTGTTTTTAATGCATTTTCTGTAATTATTATATGGCATTTTATTCTTGTATGCTGCCCCAAGTCAAAAAGCAGGATAGAAATATATTAAAAAAAACAACAATAAAAATAATTATTAGCATTTTGGTCATGCTTGCCCGACACCTCTACTTTGGCTGACTGTTAGGGTTGGACAATAATGCTTTTTGTGGGGGATTATTGGTCCCATTTTTGCCAGTTGTATGGGTTGTAAAAAAATTAAGTCAAAGCCATTTGGGCAATTTATACTCTAGCCCAGATGGATGGGCATTGCACTGCCTCCAAGGAAAACGATCTCCTGGCTTCTGAAAGTGAAATGGAATAGGTACCAAAATGCTCACAACTGTTTCCCCATAGTCTCTACTGCTTACTAATTAGTCTCTTTAAAAATAATAAATAAAACTAGATAACTCACCCAATCAACAAGTGGAAAATAACCTTAGTCTGGGAAGATAATCAGTTCTTACTTGTAGAAAAAACTTCTCATTTTCACCCCCAGCTCCCTCATAATAACAGGAATCACAGAATAAACCTTCTAGTATTTTGGTTTTGATTCTTCTCCCTATACATCCTGATTTTCAGAGCTCCTAAGAGATGCATTTGGACACAACCCCCATAATCCCCCAAACAGCATTGTCATGGATTGTGAAATCATAGAAAATAACATTTCCAAATTTTACTTATTTTATCCTTCATGGTAGATTCCTTTTAGGCTCAGTCCTAATTAAAATCACTCTTTCGGGGGCATTCTATTTCAGTAATACATTTGTACAGCAAGGTATCTACACCTCTGTTCTAGCATTTAAAGTAACCCTTTCTTGTAATGCTTATGCAGGGTTCTCAGATCCAGACCCTGACAAGAGTTCCTATACATTTAAGGATGGAATAGCACAGTAAATTGAATCAGATGCAACAGCTTCCACAATTGCAGTCCCAGCTCCACTTGGGACCCTTTCACACAAGATAGTTATAGCACTGTGATCCCACTTTAACTACCATAGTTCCATCTTATGGGATCCTAGGAATTGTTTAGGGAGAGGTATGTAGAATTCTCAGCCAGAATGCTCTAGATCCTCACAAAATTACAGACCAAAGAATGAGCCATTGAGGTTAAACTAGAATCATAGTGCTACAACTATATAGTATGAGAGAGCTCTTGGTAAAATTCTGCCTTCTATATTAGTCCTATAGGTGCAGGAAGCCTCTTAGGACTGCAAGTGGACTCCATGACTGAACTTGATCAACATATGGCCAACACACAGAGGTATGTCAAAACCCATGAACCTCTGATAGATGAATGCTTGTAAGAAAGTTGTTGGATCAACATGGAATAGGACTTAATGAAAAAGGGTAAAGTAGTCGTTCTGGAATTTCTCACAGCTATGGACTTGCTGGAACAACCAGGTAGGAACTGTTTGGAGATCCACTATTTCCTTCCCTATCAAGAAAAACAGGTCTGCTTCCGACTGACCACTCCCTCTACCACATCTGACAGCAAAGGGAGTATTAAACCATATAATCTGGAAGGCATCTATTGTTTTGTGTCAGATTCAGACCAGTGTGAAGTTAAGGACAGACATGAGTTGGTAGGGGGTTCCATAGTTTTTTGGGATAAGGAATTTACCTTTTCCCTATGAAATGGCAGCAGTGAGAAAATCCTCACCTAACATCTCACCTTCTGATTTTCTTCCTATGCTAAAAAACCAGTTTTTTACTGATGAAAAAACAAACAAACCCAAAATCCAAACCTCCATTGTGCCTTAGCCTCAGTGGCTTCATTCCTTCTCCTACTACATCTTTTTCCTTGTGTGTCCTTTATTTAGATGATAAAACTGAGAGCAGGCAACCCTCACATTAATGATTGGTCAGCCATTCTGGGAGACTTTCTGGCTAAAGGGTTTACTATAAATACTCAAAATAAGCAAACAAATACAATATGCATGGTAAAATATCACAAGAAATAACTTGTGATAGTTGATGGTGCTTTGGGACTCATCTGTTGCCAAAGTATTGGCCCAAAACAATGCTTGGACCAGTTGTTTTTAAGCTTTATAAATCCTAGAATCCTTTCACTAACATGGGCAAAATTAAAATTTGTTTTAATCTGTTCTGGGGTGGGGGTCACTAAAGAAAAAAAAAATACTTCTGTCTATCCCATTCCAATACACAGCAGTTACAAGGACCTCATGTAGTTCTACAACCTGCATCAAGCCTTCAGATGTCATTGTAGGATCTGATGTTGTAGACCACCTCCAGTCATATAAAATGGGGTCCAGGGATTAATTTAAAGAGCAAGAAGGCTGTGTGGATGAGTAGCTCTGCACTCACCCACTTCCTTTGCTTGTAACTTACTCCTATCAGTCTTTACAAGGCAAGCTGAGATTAAGGTGTTATTATAAGACAAACTGTGGGGAAGTAAGCTGTGGGAAGTGGGGATTCTTTGTAATGCTTAAATTCTTAGGCCCTGGAGCCCTCTTAAAAGCCTCAAAAGTTTTTTTTTAACATTAAAAAGAATTACACTTCCAGAATGTATAATTCTTTTCTAAAACATCGCCTCAGCATCTTGTTTTAGCTCCTTAACAAATCCATTTAAAAAATGAAAGTAATCTTCCAGTCCTTGTGGTTGACTACCCTTGATTTAAACAGACAAGTTTGCTAACATGAATAGTTTGGGTCCTAGGATTCCACTTCCACTACATTCTTTTACGTCTCCCATAGGTCAAGAGAAAAGTAATGGCGGCTCTTGCCACCAGTACAATCCCTTTTCTTGTCAGCTTTTTCACTTGTTCATCTGTTACAAGGAGCAGGTGTCTGATTGTGCCATGTGAGAGCATACGCAACTGATTTCTCTTTTTGATGCAAAGGAATTTAAGACGCAGGGGTCTTTTAACCTATAGGTTCTATGCCTAATGCATCACAACTGTGGCGGATACAGTCCACAAAATCAAGCCATCACTGATTAGCTCACTATCCAAACAACCTGGAATAACCAAATTTAACCAAAACAAAAGAAAAAAAAAGTGAGAAGAAAAAGGATTTTAAACACAAATAAAAACCAGCATCCTAGAATAGATGTGGTTGATTTATATTAAAAATCTTTTAATAACTGATTTTCATTTTTAAAAGTATTAAAAGTATGCCCTTTAATTAGAATAAGCTTGTATATTCATAAATAACAGTAAAAAAAAGTGTGAGAGAGAAAATTATCTTACTATCCAGAAGCCTTGTAAGCAGGGGAAATACTAATGGAAGGAATGTAAGTGGATTAGGCCTCATGACCAAAGAAAGATAAAGTACAGAGTGGTTGACTAATTTCCTGCACTCATTGCAGCCTCATTCCCACTACATTATAAACCGGTTTGCTAACCGGTCTGAAGTGGTTTAAATGACCCTTGTTCACACTTGAGCCGAGGGCCTTTGCAGACTGCCAGAAATAGTGCAAACTGAGTCCACTTTA